TTCGGATTTCGAGTTTCGGGTTTCGGGGTTCCTGGGCGGTGCATTGCGTTTTTTCGCAGTCTGTAAACTTCTCCATGGTAGGACCAACGGACCCGGCCCTTAGCTGAACAGCTTGCAACTCATGCCGCCGAACCAGAAGACAATCCTAAACCCTCAGCAATCCTATAGGCCGGTGTGGAGCCTGAAGGATTTCGCTTTTGGTTCTGTTGTAAACCCTACAGAAGGGGTCTGAATCATGAGGTGTCCTCGTTATAGTCCCCATATCACCATAACTATATTCTGATGTGCGCCAAAATCCCTCTTCTAACATCCTAAACCCCAAAGCCTGAACCATGAGAGTCGAAACCCTAAACCATCCTCTTCCCATGTTACATCCATCCTAAACCCTAAACCCTAAACCCTAAAGCCTCTAATTTCAAAGCTTCCTGTGTTACACCCAGAAATGGGTAGTTATCAAAATTATGGTCCCTTTTGGGGTACCCTAAATAATAGGTGCCGTATTATAACAAGGACCCAAAAAGGGACCATAATTTTGACAACCACCCAAATGGACCCAGGAGTCGCTAGCGAAGCCCATGAGGCACAGGGGGCGATGGGCGTCTGTATCAGATCGTCTCTGCGGCTTGGTTGGGGATGATGTAGAGTGTAGAGAATGTAGGATCTGTCAGTGTGACCGGAGAGGGGGGCGGGAAAGTTTCAAGCTGGTTGGCTGTCAAGATGTGCGTTCGGGCTTATTTCGAAGCTTTCGTGCTAGAACCTGGTTGCCGCGTCCCCATCTGCAGGCTGCAGGAGGAGGACTTGGTGGTGTTGCAAAACACTCGAAGCCAAAATCCATGCAAACTCGACACTTTCGAGCCGGGGTGCAGGGCAGCTGCCAAAGAGCGTCGGGAGCTTGCGGCCAAGACGAGGACGACTCCGGGATAAGTGTTTGGGTTAGTCGGTGGTTCTCTGGAGCGATTCTTGCTCTCAGCCGGCGAACCTTTCTAGCTGCTAGATCTTTCTGGTGCACTCTCTGTGAGGCAGAACATATGGGGAGAGCCTTGGAAAGACAAAGTTGCTCAGATGCATGCGGCACAGCCGCTGAAGATCTTGGTGATGGTCGTGGTGCTAGCGCTGCTGCAGACGACGATGATGGTCATGCTGGTGGTAGTGTTGACGAAAGTTGAAGGAGGCTGCTGATGCTTGTGATGATGATGATGACGACGAAGCTGATAATGGCGAAGGTTGGAGCCATGTCTCAAGACCCAAGATCCCGAGTCAGAAGCCAATATGTGTTGTGTTGTTTGCGACCTGGTGACGATCAAGATCCTCAAGTCAGGTTCCGGTTGGTGCCCGAAGCGCTGGCCCGCTGCTAGCAGCAGAGACCCTCGATGAACTGGTATCCTCCAAACTAATATCTCCAAAGTTACCAGGCCTCACAGCACAGCGCCCAAACCACCGATAGCTTGAACCCTCCGATAAGTGCAAAGTCTCCAGATTGCCTCCCGGACACTCCACGAGATGCGACATGCCCGAGACTGTTCACAAGCTCACGCCACCTGCTCAGGTTGAGCGAGTACGGGTGGCGTCTCCCTATAGCCGCTACGCGTCGTGGAGTTTGAGCCTTGCCGCAGGAGAAGCCAGCAGCCAGACCTTCCCCGTAGGAGCCTACACTGCTCAGAGTAAGGTTTTTCCACTTACCCGCCACGTCGTGCAAGTTCAAGACGAAATCCAAGGCGATGCAAAGAGACATTACCGCCTCAAACTTACAAATCCGATGCCCTCGAGCTTCAGAAGACTTGTATGAATGTTTTGAAAGCAGTCATTGGAAAAAGGTGGGGGGTCCACCAAACCATAGGCATAGGAACTTCCCAGAAACCTGGAAGAAACGATAATGGCCTGAAGATGAAGCAATACTCATTGAGTGCAAGATATGCTATTGGCATACGGGCCTTCAGGAACAATGCATTCCTCCTGAATGGAAAAGCCTTGTAGTACATGTCGACATGTCTCGAACTGCTGGGACAAACGTACACTTGCACATAGCAGACGTAACTAATGCAAATTTCGGGCGATTCCTGCCTTGGTCATTCAGGCGCAGCCTCTAAGCAGAAAGGCACCAAAATAAAAAGTTCAGAAACTTGTGGCTTTCCTAACCCTAGTTGCAAGAACGTTTCGCACATGTGTTCGCGATTGAAGGGGTCGTAGCTTTTTCGCAGACAGTGTGCCGTCCGGCGAAGCGACGAAAAACTTCGGTAGCGGCCAAGGAGGCTGCATATGCAGTACAGGGAGGCATCGAAGTGCCCTTTCGAAGCCAAAGCACAAACATGAAACATGTTGATGATTTTTCGTATGCCCGTAGACGAAAACAGCTCTGTTGAAACCTTTCATGTCGCCGACACGCAAGTTTTGGAACCCTTGCTTCAACCCCTTCACACCTGCGATCGGGAAGAGCTCGAATTCATAACCAAGTTTCTCGAATATCCCTGCCGCCATCATGACGCAATATGACTGTCTGCGACAGGCGGCAACGCATCTTCCGGGCATGGTTGGCCTGTCTCATTTGGTTCACACAGGGATCGTCTTGCTCCTGCTTCATGTTTCTGTTGGTCGCACGGACGGGTGTGTCCCGATGGATGTTGATAGACTTGCTCAAGACCCTTGTCCTGCCCTCACGACAAAGACTGTTTTTCAGCTTGGGCCAAAAGAGAGCAGCAGACTCCTGAGTGTAAGGGGCCTAGATGGGGACGGGCCCGGATCAAGCAACTGTCCTTTGCAGCGTCTCGAGCGCCGACTTCGGCATGTGCAAAGTACGTGAGCAGCGGACAACAAGAGGTGTGCATGTTTGTTGAAGTTAGGCTTTATTGGTTTTGCAACCCGAATGGTACATGGCACGGTGAGGCATATGTAGGTTGATTCTGCTACAAGGTTTACGCTGTGTGCGCTGGCTGATGTTGACTGAGAATCGAAAAGAACCTTCCCCGGTTCGCCAAGTTGAGAGAATCGACAGTCAACCCATAACTTCAACTTATTGCTCCAGTTCGTGTCGCTGAAGCAGCATCCAAACTCCTCTGGATTCTGTGAGCCAGGGTGTATCCCGACATTGTACGTCTGAAAACACGAAGACGGTGAAGATCCTACAATTACAGCCTGGGTAAAAATGTGCAGGTCCTGATCAGGGGTTCACGGGTTTCTCATGTGGGACGGTGCAATCCCGGCAAAACCGAGTCGAGGGCTTAAACCCCGAATCTGCGTTTCTTAAACGCACGTTGATCCGGGCCGATCCGGACAGATCTGTCGAGTAAAATGGTGTAAAAAACCGTGCTACTTCTCTCTCTGTCTATCGCACCACGTTCAGCCCTTAGGTTGATCGGGGGGCCCTGAACCACCACAGCCGCCTGCTGCCTTGCAGGCTGCAGACCTCTGAAACCGTAAGCCACTCCTAAATCCGAAGCCGTGAAACAACCTTGGTCCCACGGGCTCCAACTCCTGAGCGAGCCATTGAGGAATGCGGTGATGGTGAAAGGAGGCGACGACCTTCGACAGGAGCTGCTAGCCTCCCAGCCTCTTGGTCTCCAGCTTTAAAGTTGAGGGTTTAGGGAGAGGGGGGGTGCATGAAGGGGTAAGTTTAGAGTGTATACAAGGCTCCCACCTGCCCTGTACCGTGGCATGAAGAGCCTTTGTCAGATGTTTAGGATGTCTGTCGAGCGTTGGTTTTGTGAGCAGTCTCCTGTGTTGGGTTTTGTCCACTCATGGCGGGCTTGAGGTCTAATCGGTTTTGCTAAGATTGATGGCAACCGGCGTTGCGAAAGCGTGTATCGATACGTTTTCGATTGGAGTTGTCTCAAACAGTCTACTGTAGCCTTTTGAGATTGCAGACGTGCGCGGGCGGCAAAGAGGGGCTGTTCCGGATCCTTGTTTGGAAGCCAATCTTGGAGAAGCCTAATATTGCTATGATCGGAGCCACGGCCCTGCTCTAGGGTTTAGAGTTTAGGGTTTAGGGTTTAGGGTTTAGGGTTTAGGGTTTAGGGTCAAGCCCAGGATCATCGAGCAGTTCAGCGCAATTTTCCAGGCACTCGGGCGCGCTGCGTTTTCGGAGTGGGGGCTTGGCTCTAAGCAGCCTTACCTGGAGAGCCCGAGCGAGCGCCGAAAGCGAAACGGAGAGAAAGCTCAACTCTATGGTTCAACAAATCCAACTTTCGGAGAGCCAAACCTTTAGGTGGGAGTTTCCGAAAATTAGGGGGGTACCTTATTTTGGTGTACTTACAATATGGATCCTACTATTTAGGGTGCTATATTAGGGTCCCCCTATTGTCGAACACCGCCAGGTTTTGGGGTTTAGGATGGTGTAGGGCCTAGGGATGAGGATTCAACTCCCGGGAAATCCCATCGCTTTTGGCCTTCACACAGACTTGTACCCTCAACGTTAGGCCCGTGTGTGCTAAACCCGGGCGAAACATGGCGAAATGTTCAACTCCTGCACTGCCTAAACTTCTGGAGCTTACTTGGATGAGTTCGTGAGGGCTCGGCGTGCAAGGATAGACGGTGGGCAGGCTTGCTAGAGCGATGGTATGTTGCACCAGTGCGTATATAGCAGAGCCCAAGAACGAGGACGGTGTCAGTGACGATTGACTTGCTGCCTTCCTTACCCTGTAAGAGAGTCTTTCAAGAAGGTCCTGCTCCTTTCTGTTTCCTTTGATTTAGTCCTTTGAGTATCCGGGAAAGATAGGCTAGGAAACGCAGTGTCTGCCACGGTATTGCTCGTCCCTCATCGGGCCCCCGGCCAGGTGTCGAATCCTGGCACATAGCGCGGAGGGTGTCGCATTGAAGCTTGAGGGCTGACAAAAGGAACGCTGCTAAAACGATACAAAGCCGCCCCGGTAAAAAAAACGCGAAGCTAACTCGCAACCGCCCTTTTGGGGGTTCGTGCTGCCAGGAAGCTGGTTTACCACTCTGGCTGCAGGCCACAAAGGTGTCACGGTTGCAGTGCTTTGCAGTTGCAATCCACTTGCAGACCCAGCTGGCCTGTGCCCCAGCCCACCACACCCACCCTCACCGCGGCGGCTCAAGCATTTTTCGGCAGAACAGGCTCAGCTTCACTTCTCCTTGCTTGAAAGCTCCCTGAAGGGAGTGCGCACAAAGTGCACACCGTGTCAAACCACCATACACACAAGCGTTAAACACCGGTGCAATGTAGCATAATGCGGCTTCTGAAGGTACATCGTCGCAGTATGCTAACAGCAAGAACGTATATCGTGTTATGTTCTGGTATACTGAAGCTGCCTATCACCCAGAAAAGTCCAGATGTCTTCAATCTCAGCATGCGACATGTTCTTCGAATTCCGACTGATGCCTCACCTGTTGAACTCCGAGTAGTCCCCAAGCCTTTAATCCTAAAATGTGGGCATTGTCATCATGCTGTGTAGCTTGGACTTGGGTGTTTTTGTGTGCTTTGGCGTTATCTTGGATGTGTGTGTGTGTGTGGCCATGTGTGCCGCCAAGTGTTTTGTCACCGGTATCAGACGTGTGAACCGAGAGACCTCTCCTGGATGGACCGAGTTGTGACAGCGTAAAGAGGGTTGAGGGCCAAGCCAGTGAAGCTGTGAGTGCGAAGTTGCGCGGCCTTCTGAATCCTAAGATGGAGAGCCCAGGTATTGGTGACCAGCTCGACGAATGGCTTCCTCGAGTTCATCCACGACTCGATCTCCGTCGATGCTCTCCGACCTTTTCAGGTGTCCTTCGTATATCTGGGGTTCAGGGCAGAGTCTAAAGCCCGGAACTCAATCAGTACGCGACCCCCCAGACCAAAACCTAAATGCTGCTAGGTTAGGTGCTTCATGAAGGTCTATTTAGGGGCTTTCTGAAGCGGTCTGAGTTCTGGATTTTATGTGGGTGTATTTCTGGTATTGCCTGCTTGCGGTTGGGCGAACTTCGACCTCGGACTGTTCTTGGTGCTTCCAGTACATCTCACTGCAGTGGCACACGCGGTCAGTTCGGGCTTTGCGTCCATTTTACATTCATGACCCTCAACCCTCAACCCTCAACCCTCAACCCTAAACCCTAAACCCTAAACCCTAAACCCTAGACCCTACAACCTAAACCCTAAACCCTAAACCGGCGCTGTTCGGTTTGGATAGTGGCATGCATGGGCAGCTTACAGTGTCACGCCGACTTATGCACCTATGGATCCTCGCCTGGCTTGTCCGAGTTGTGAGAGTGTAAACCGTACCATGCAGATCTCAGCTCTAGGAAGGCTCTAGGCCCTTCTGGGCCACTCGTCTTATACGGCTCTTGTGACTCAGCGCCCCAGTGGGGTAGTTATGACTGACTGTCAAGTAGAAACCTTCATGTAGAAAAGTCCGCCAGCGGACAAACTTCCATGGCAAAGAGCAGCCAGCATATCGGCTTGACTTTGGAGGCCCGCAGCAATGCAAAGCTCATAAAGCCTTGACCCAAGCAACAGGTCCGTAGGCCCCAGGCACTGAACTTCTAAAGTCATCAACCTTGTGAAATAAGGCCATGAAGAAGATCTACCCTGGCAAGACGTTGGCAGACATCTTCAGAGTGGCTTTTGCCGACAGATTGTGGCTCGGGAGTATATTGAGTGTTGGAGCTTCCGGTGTGCCTTGGAATGAGACTGCTACCTCCTTCGGGGTGCAGGGCCTGGGCGTGAAGTCCTGGTAACGGTAGCCATGAGATACTCAGGTTAGTGCATGAAACCAGAGCCATTTCACTCGCTTGTCGCAGTTGCGCAGAGCAATGCGATATCGCTCAGACATGCTCAGGCGGTATTTGCTGCACAGTACATAGGGGCGATGTTTCCAGGACGATACTGCATATGCCTGGCAGTATATCTGAAAACGTTTCAGCAGTTTGTTTATACAGCAGTTCAGGTGCTAGTGAAGCAATGCTATACGAGCTGTAAGAGTTGGCACAGAAGGTATTGAAAAGGCAATTTAGCAGATGAAACACTCAACCATGTAGCCATAACCCCAGATAGTCGTAAGACAAGCTGGCACACGTTCCTACAGGAAGTACCGAAGGAGAGAAGTGCGTAAGGTGGCGGCTATCCTTAAATTGGGTGACAACCTAGCCGCTCTGTAAGAGAATTTTCATTGGTAGCAAGGTACGGGAGCAGTATGCCCGGATGATGCAAGAATCGACGAGAAGACCTGGGGGCGTAATTTTCTTCGGTAAAAGTGGCAACATTCGAACCACTGGATGAGTTGGTTGTGGTACGTTAGAAGACAAGCCAAGCTGAGAGATTGCAACAACTTGGCAACACGAACATGCAACACAGAAGAAGCCTATCAATCATGCAATGGTGTGAAGAAAAGTGCGGCTATAAATATAGATTACAAGGCAATCGCCATGCAACCATGCATCGCACTTAGAGCTGATATCGGATATATCGGCTTACCTGTCCCTGGAAAGCACCCGCTGAGTAGAACAACGCTACAGCCTTGCAGGTTTGCATCAGGAGTTGTGTCTGCATACTCCAAACATAGTAATGTTGAGGAAGAGTTGCAAAGCAGCATAAGAACACTTCGCACAGCCAGCTCGTATGGTGTAAGAGTTTTATAAGAATTACCATGTCTTCTTTGGCACCAGGGGATGTATACCCTGCAAACCCTAGAGCCTACACAGCGTTGGCCGTTGGCGCTTCAAGCCTTGCCCGAGCCGCAAGCGAGGTTCGAGGCGAAGAGGAACTTCATTGAAAGCTCGGCGGCGTACTCCCTGGTCGTCTACTTCCTGCAGGCAGCCTGAGTGTTCCTAGGCCGGGGGTCTGTTAAGGCTCCGGCTTTGGGTTCAGGGCTGGGCAGAAGGGGGCAAAGGCTCATGTGGGAAACCGAAATTTTGGTTCAAGCTCAGACTGCTCAAGTTGCGAGCATGTCGACGGCAAAACCGACAGAGACAAATTTGCAGTTCATCTCAGTGTCCAATTCAGATTGTAGCGAACTTGTTCGAAATGCCAGAAAATCATCTGCGGTGCCAGCCATGGCCTGTGATTCAGGAGCTATCAGGAGCTGTTACTGTTAATATAGAAGTGACCTGCTGATATATCCACAATATACTCATTTGTCTAACCATAATCTACACAGCATCGGATGGTAGGCTTGGTGCTCATGCCGCGCGACGCTGTGTTCTTCCGGGGCTTTGAGGGTTGACTTGAGAAGCAGCCGAGCCGTTCTAGAGACAGGCACTTGCGGATCGCCGCGCGAACCTCCAGTGCCTGTCTGTAGAAAGGCTCCGCTGCTTTAAGGGGCCCCCTCAGCCTCCAAGATTCTGGCAGCGGCGCTGCTTCAGCTGGTGGCCCTGGTGGCATGATCGCCGCTGGTTGTCATGCGTTTCGCAACGTTCCTCCCGGACGGATTAATGCGTATGTCGAGGCCCCGGTGTCCCGCCTGAACCAAGCCTTTGTGCAAGAAGGTGCTGAGCGTTGTAGCGCAGTTTCATGCCGATAGGTTCGTCGATGGTCGTGGCAAGTCGGCCACACCGGCCCTTCCTCACGTCTCTGTCACAACAACTTTCAGAGACGCGGAAGCGGGGTCGTGAGTTGCACAGCATCTGCGCGAATGTTGCTGACGATCTGAGTTTCTTCTATGGAAGTCGTTCTATGCTTCGACATGATGCCACAAAAGCTTTGCGGCGGTGGCTAAGTGGGCTTCATGCTCCATTTGCGCGAATGTTTGCTGCCGGAGCTTCGACTTTGCTTCAGCTTGGGAAGTGGCAGAGGCAGGGATGCGGAGCAGCTTTTCCGTAGCTTCGCCAGGAGCTTCTGCGAAGTCCAAAAGGATAGAGGATGTGTGGATGAGGCAAGAGTCTGTCCACCGGCGGAGAGCACCTCTGCCTCGTTGACTCGCTTTGGCAGCGTATTCAGTCGTCAGCCTGGCTGGGTGTTGGTGAAAGAAGTGTGTTGGTCCACACCGGACGTGGAAGATGTGGCGGGGCTCCAAGCCTCGCGGAGCAGTGGCTCTGCGAAGCGAAGCGGTCGAGACGGCCTTGAAGACCCCTCCGAGCAACTTGCTTGGAGGTGTCTTCAAGCCCGTCTCGACCGCTTCGCTTGAGCTCCTTGCACTCTCCGGAGGTTCTGCCGCTGGGAAACTTCCGTAGTTTCTCGGTGTGGAAAACCACGGCTTCAAGGCCTTCTGAGAAAATATGCCAACCCTGCTGCCAGTTTTGGACGCTTCTCAATCGTGCATTCAATACATAGCAGTGTCTATATGCTTGACGAAGTAACGTGCTGCAAATGCAAGCAGGGCGGTGGCAGCTTCACTGGCAGGTTTCGTGAAAGGAAGTTCCACCCTGAGAGGCAAGACAATCCCGAAGCCTCGGCAAAAATGCAACATGCATGTAGTTCTTCCGTCAGACTACGCCCGTCACTGCGATCCTTGCCGCGGGCCTGAAACCCGAAACCCAGATGATAAAACTGCAGGTGAAAGACCGTCACAACGGCAACCTCATGCTGTTGACAAGTGGCCATGTGGTCCACATCGACTTTGGGCCACTTGGTCCTGGAGCTGATAGGAGTAATCTGTATGGGTTCCACAGGAGGGTTTCCTAATGGCTGTGTTCAATCCTTACACCTTTGGAGGGCTTTTGAATGTACCTTTTTGTTGGATTCGGGGGGTCTTCTGCTTTTGCAAAGAGGGATAGGTGGGACTGCCATCGAAACCTACATAATATAGCGGGCCTCAATCATTACCTATATTATTTTGGGGTCTCCGTATTATACTTGTAGTATAATGGGCCGCAAAACCCGATTCTAATCATTAAGGCCCCTATATTACATACTTTGAAGTTTGGCAGTCGCCACGATGATTTGAGACTCATCGGTGCGCTTGCACAGGTGTAACGATGTGGCGAGCTGTAGTCGTAGCAGCAGAGGAGCCGCATCCTCAAAAGATGTCATGGGCGAAAGACTTGGACTGGGGTGAGGTGGTGTTTAATGCATGACCTGGTGCTCTCCAAAGCAGCAGCTGTAAGCAAGCAAAGCCTTGTCTGTTTTCTGGTTGCGCCTCTGTTGCAGCCCTCAGCCCTTAACTCAAGTGTCTCCCTCGCCACTCCGCTGGCGTGTCCAAGAGTGAGTGCCGAGATCAGTCAAAGCCCTGCCATGCTTGGCTTGCGATGCAGCGGCCAACAACTAAAAACCGTGGGCAAAGATCCCTAAACCCTAAACCCGAAAAACCGTGGGCAAAAGATCCCTGGATCCTCACATCGGCAGGTTCATGCTCTCCAACTCGCCCGGTGGGAATATGGCCTTCGAGAACTCGCCTTTCAAGCTGACTCAGGCGGAAGTGCTCGGCCTTATCCGCAAATCCCTGATTCCTCATGGCTTCCAAAGCCAAATCAGCACAGGAGATCCTGGATGTCATGGATGGCGAATGTTCGGAGCAGTACGAGTACTTTCGCAGCTTGTCGGATGTGCCATTTTCGGAGCATCGCGTGAGCCTTCCCAAACTACCACCTGTTCCACCGAGTTGGAGGCTTCCCATTCGCGTAGGCATCCAATTTGCAAGCATGCGAGTTCTGCACCCAGAAACGGACGACTGTAGTGGGGTTGAGAGGCATTAGTCACCACATAGAATCCGCTTCTTTGCACGAAAGGCTTCGGCGACAGCCGTAGGTTTGAAATGTAAGACCATGCTCTTTACCACAAGCTCGCGCGAAGAGACCTGTGTTCGCATTGGGTGAGTCTCTGGGTTTAGGGTTTAGGCTCAGAGCCAACAGTGTCAGTGGGAGTCGAAGCGAAAGAAACCCCAGGCACGCTGCTCATTCGCGGCTTTCTGGAAGCGCGGAAGCACATGGATCGGATCGTTTTACAGGCTGGATTTCCGAGCCAAAGCCTCGCCTGAGGGACCGCTGCCGGGCTTTGGTTCAACTCTGGAATCCCTCTTCTGTGTATCGTGATGTCCCATACTTGTAGTTAGGAGGTGTCTGTTACGTGCATCCTTGGCTGCTTAGTTCTGAGGGCCAGATTCAGGGTGGAGGGTTTCTGTTTGCGGGTCTAGGGTTTGGGGTTTAACCGTGGGTCACTTGGATTTGAGGGATTGCTCTGCAAGTATCGTAGTTCAAAGCTTGCCCTTGGCAGCAAAGGCTTTCAGACCAGTTCCCAAGCATCAATGCAGGTGCCCCCAACCTTGCAGAAGAAGAGCAAATACACTGTACAAATGGCCGCGCCATGCGGCCTGCCGCGCTGCCGCTGGGGTTTCCTTAGGAAAATGACATCGTTTCCAATCGTGCTTTTCCTGAATCCATGGCTACGGGCGGGAGGAGCTCAAGCAATTGAAAACAAGGCAAGAAAGGTGAACCTTTGCATTTGGGGGTGTGTTTACACTTCCTCTTTTCCATTGCATTTTGTGGTAGGTGGGTCAAAAATTGTCTGCAAAACTGAACGGGGCCGTGGCAGCTTGGTTCGTCCTGGGAAATGCACGCTCCATGGATCCCGCGAGCGTATCGGTCTCGAGCACTTTGAAGAAAATCTGAAAACGTATTAGTACGAAACAGCGTGTGCAAAATGACCGCAGGTTGCGACCTGTCAAGACAAGTTAGGCAGACAAGCTTGGCAGAGTGTGATCAATGTGTGAAAAGGGTAAAACGGCTTATTCATCCGCTTGATTCTGAAGCTCGAGGCTAGTGTAGTCCTTTCTTACACAGTGCGTACACTCAATTTACATACACTTGTGTTGCACTCGTCGTTTGCAAGGAAATGATTCGGAGGATTCCCTTACTGAAAAGAGGGGGGATTTTTCAATACTAGTGGAGTGCAGTTCAGAGGCTGGTGGTCTGGGGTTTGTCGGTGCGGTGTTGTGACCGTTCCGTGGGGTAGTAGTATCCCGGATCTTGAACCACTCCGCATGCCAGCAGGTGCGGATGATGCTGACTGGCTCGAAGATGCCCTGCTTCCGAGAGGGGGCAGACTTCGTCCTGTCCACGCTGCAAGACAGGCCGGTCCTGTCTTTATGCACGTCAGCCGGCACGGTCTGTAGGTATCCAAACCTTCAAACTGTAACCCTCAGCAATCGGTCTCCCACTTGCCGGAGGGTCGTACGTGTTTCTGCAAAAAAAGATCAAGCATAGTTTGATGGAGTCCTTCTCGTACTTCAACTCTAGCTCCACAGAAGCTCCCACTGCATGGAAAAGGATTGCAGGTTCGGGACCGTTTCGAGTTCGGAACTTTTGATCCGGGGCGTTGAAGATCCTGCATGTTTTCATGTGGGGTGTCGTGTGTTGTTCGAGCAGGTTCTTTTGCAACCTGACGGAAGAAGCTTGCATCCTGGCAAATTCGTTCCTGCAGAAGTGGAATGTGATGCGTCGGGTGTATGGCTGCTGCGTCATGCGCTGTAGGCGAGAGTGAGAGAGAGAGCGAGAGAGAGCGAGGGAGAGCGAGAGAGAGAAAACAAACAAATGAAGGGAGAGAATAATGGGGCGCCGAGAGTCCCGTCATCGTGAGCTGATTAGCTGACTTACTGTGCTGTCCTTTCTACAGTCAGGGAACCCATCGCTCTAGCTCTTGCACAGCCGAGCCCATTTAACCAAAATGGTGGATTGGGCAGCTCGACAGAACGGGGTACAGGGTCTGCCCGTGCTCCAAGCCCCGAAGCAAAGCAGAGAGAGAGAGAGGTAGGACATCAGCCCTTGCGAAAGAAAGAGAGAGGGAGGGAGAGGAAGAGGGAGAGGGAGAG